TAAAGATATCTATGTGGGCACGCAGAATAGGCAGTCTGATATAGAAGACTGGAGTTTTGGAGAAAGTGTGGAAGTGTTTGGCATATAAATAGGATTCAAATGAGGAGACTGGATGATATATCTGAGGAGGTGAATGTGGATAGGAACAATTTGAGGGCCAAGGATTGACGCTAGGCATTCTAGCTTCAAAAGCTAAGAAGACAGAGGAGGAACCAGTAAAGAAGACAGAGGGACAGCGGCTAGTAAGGTAGGAGGAAAGTCAAGAAATGGGAACCAAGGGAAGAAAGCATATCTAGGTACGAGTGACCCTTCAGCCATGCCAATGCTGCTTATAGGTAAGGACTGCAGATGTATGCTGGAGCTGGCAGCATCAGAGTAACTTTGCCTGTCACAAGAGGAGTTTTAGTGGAGTAGAGGGGTTGTAAGTATGGTTGAAATTAGTGTAAGAGAGAATGGGAGAAGAGGAAATGAGTACAAATGATGCTTTTAAGGGATTTGCTGCAAAGAAGAGTAGAGGAGCAACCAGTACCATTTTCTGCCTCTCTGGCTGGCTCTAAGAAGCACCCCCTCACATTTTATACAAGTGCAGTTAATATATAACTATTCAGGCATCCTGCATTTTTATGAAGTAGATTTGTACCATCAGCATAGAACTTTGGAACCAGATGATATTGTCAAGGTCATCTCAGTTAATCTCCCACCTAATAAAGGAATCTTCCTCATAATACTAATACAACACTTTTTATACATTATTTAGGAACGATAAAGCATGATGCCTGCTTCTGAGAAACATATATTTTTAGTGGGAAGAAGCAGGCATATATGCTTCCTGTGTGATAAATGTTATGATAGAGGCACATACAAAATATTTTGAAAGCACAGGGGAAAGAAAACGAACTTGACTTGGGAAAGTTAGGCAAGACAATATGCATAAAAAGTTGACATCTAAACTAGATATTAAAGATGAGCCTGACATTTTCCAGACAGAGTGCTGGGGAGAATCCCTTTCTAGATGATAACCCAGCTTCCATTTGAATGCTTATAGCTACAGAGAGCTCACTGCATTATGAGGCCAATTCCATTTTAATTAGCTATAGTAGTTGCAAATCCATTCTTATATTGAGCCAAATAATTCTTTCTAATACTCCTACTCATTAGTCCCAGTGTCCTCCTCTGGAACTGATGGTCAAAGTCTTATCTTTCTACCATATAGGCCATTTCTGTATTTGAAAATAGATATTATGTTCTCTTTTCAGTCATCTCTTTCCATGTTGCAAAAAAAAAAAGAAATGAATAGTCTGAGGTTGGGTTCCCTGAGAAGGAGACTCTGGGTCCGAGGTGGGTGGACAGGTGGTTCATTAGGGAGTGCGTTTGAGATCAGTGCTATGAAAGGGGAGGGAAAATGGGCAGGAGTGGGCAGAGGGAAGGTGGAGGTGCAGTGCAGCTTTAATTGGAGCTCAAGCCAACCTATTGGGGGTTCAGAGCTGTCCAGAGTTTGAACAAGGATCAGGTCTTTAATTCCATGACAACCAGTCATTGGGCCAGTTTACTCCAGCCTGAAGGCATGATTTTGGGCAAGATGTTTCTCTCTGCTGATGCAATCCCCCAAGTGGGTTGGTGGCTGAAATCTATTGACAGGACATTTTTAGCAGCTGGAATCATTAGTCCTTTATTTCTGAAGTGAGTCTTTAAGGAATCTGGGTGATGCAGAAGAATATAATGTACTGTTAATTCTTTTGACAGTTATTTTCTGAGGCAGATAATACAATGCAAAGGTACCTGTATTTTTGTTTCTTCTTATTAGAAATCAAACACCATGAAATCAAAGTGATGGGGGTTCAAGATAATGATGAGATATAATGTGCAATTGAACCTTTCCTGGGCCAATTGCTCATCTCAGTTATGATGGCCCGTTATGTAGGAACACTTTAAAAATACTCTCCAGGCAAGTTGAAGAAGTACATTCATGTAAAAAATGTGACTTAGACTCTTTTCTAGGAGGAGGAGACTGCTCCAAGACCCCATGCACAACACACTAAGTGGGGAAGTATAGTGAGCTGCAAACTGAATTATATTCCTGTCCTTCATCCCAGAAGATGACACCTCCTGTGCCAATCACAGTGCATGCCGGGTGTCTGCAACGATGAGTGTGTGACCAGTAGTCCTTTCCACTCCCTGCATACATGAAGATTGCTCTTTGATTTGTGGCAGTGGCCATAATTTGCAAAGATTGTCACTGTTGGCAAGTTAATAGTTAGCCCAAAGCTTTGTTTAAAAAGGGCTTACCCATTCCCTATTATTGTACACCAGATTGTTGTGTCAACTAAGTTAATAACAAGAGACCACATATTATGCCAGGAAACATTTGCCAAGGCTATAACTCTGTCTCTTGATGTCTGTTTGGCTTCATTCATCTCCTCTTGATGCTACAGATAACATTGTCATAATAAAGAATTCTTATTTAATGAAGATTGTCAAGATAAAATGGTGGAACTGGACATTGATGGGAGCAGAAGATTCAGAAAAAGGGTGATTGTAGAGGATGATAGAATTAGAAGTAAGGTGAGGATGTGGTAGGAGTGGGATGAAGCCACATTATTTTTTCTCTTTTCTTACTTGTACATTGGCTTTCTTCACATAATAGCTGGCAGTTTCTTTAGGAACTCATTTGTAATTGTGAAAGAGTTTTAACAGAAGACTAAGAGAGGAGAGGGGCAGGTTGGTATATAATAGATTGGTTTTCTTTTCAATTCAATCTCATTAGCATAGGCTCATTTACTATGGGCGTTTACTGTCAAGGTTAACTTTCCACGTGTATTTGAACCAGCAGTGGTTTCACTGTAGGGAACTATGTGGGTGATGGGACATGTTCATTTATCATAGAATGGATAGACTTTGTTTACAATTGGGATCCCTTTCATCCTAAGCTTGTACATTTAAGGTATATTTGGAAGCCTTTGCCACTTTGTTATATCTACTGGGCTTGTGAAAACTCAAGTGATAATATGTCTCATTTGAGAATCACCCAAATTCCCTTGAGCTGGAAGAATAACAGGAAAAAACAAATGGCTATTTATTTAAAGTGATAGCCATTCTGGGAGGGTTATTCTGTTAGTCTCCTTCCTGTCCTGTTGTGCATCTCTGTAAGCCCCCTGACAAGTCTTGGGAATAATTAAGCGTTATTGTTTTGGATTCCCACTATATCTTATAACTAAGGATAAGGTAAGCTTCACCAGAAGACCAATTCTTGTATTGCAGTAGGAAAAAAATCAGGAGCAGAGGCTGGCCACAGTTTGGAATATGCACACATGAAATTATTATTTTACTCCAAATTATTCCCACTTGCCTATCCACCCAATCTTGGTGCCCACACTCTCTATATTTCTGAATTGTAGGGTCCAAAGGGGCTCCTCTTTGACCACACAGTTAAGCCAGGGGAGGAAGCCATGATAAGCATCATTTTACCCTTAGCAGAAAGAATCGTGCCCAGTGACTAAGCATCTACTGTTTCATTCTGGATAGCCTGTGGGAAATGTGAAAAGTTCACGCCACACAAAGCATCCATAGTGCTGGCAGAGCAGAGGGGCTGGCAGCTTTCATTGCCAAACCAGGGTCTTTGGACACCAGGTGGATATTTCTCAACCTGAACTTTTCTTTCAATAGTGGGTGCTGCCAAAATTCTCAACAATCTCTCAGCTGTACAACAATATGCTCCCAAACTAAGAAGAGAGAGAGAGAGAGAGAGAGAGAGAGAGAGAGAGAGAGAGAGAGAGAGAGAGCGCGAGCCTGGTCTCTTCTCTTGTAATTGCACTTGGAAGCTCTAGTCTGGGAGGTAGAAAAACAGCCACTTCGACAAAGACTGTTTTGTTATCTTGAATTGTTATAAAATGGAAACGAACCATCAGATAGAAGAGATGTTAGAGGCACTGACTAAGAAAAGGGATGCCACCACTCAGGAGGAGGTCAGAGGAGAATGGATTGACAGAGGAGGACAGGGGTCTTCATTTTGTGGGTTCAGATTCTTCCACCTGAATGGTAGATAAAATGCAAGGCTTGACATCTCAGGACAACAAGAGAAATACAGCTTTAGATGGGCAACATTTAAAATAGCTCCTTCCTCAAAAGGGAAGAAAGAAAATGCTCGGAATTGACAGAGGTGACACATAGGTCAGACCAAGACCTGAAGTGTTATATATGTAAGAGAAAGAAAAATCTGCTGCATGTTGTTATAAATAAAGCTTAATCACATAGGAGCTTGGATACAAGTCATTCTAACTTGTGTCTTAGATATACTGTTTGAGCCTTCCTCTAACTTGCATATCTCATGATCAGAGTAGAAGGTAGAGATAAAACTAACTGTACTACTGATTTAGCAGATATACCTTTATAGAAAATATACTGACCAATCCTTGTGCTATATGTGCTTCTTCCTGATACTCATACTGGGGGGTGACTATCTCACCTTCATAGGTAGGTTTAAGTGGAGATCCAAATAGTCTTTTGGATCATTCACTCTGACTGAGGGATACACATCCACAACTGAGAGCCAAAGAGGCTTGAGAAGTGGGAATTGTATGTGCATGAACATAAACCTGACCTGAATTGACATGAGGCCATTTATAGACTTAAAAAATCTTTATTGTTGAAAGTATTACATATACCCCCTTTTTTCTCCCATTGACCCCTTATAGCCCACCCCTACCCCCATTTATAGTCTTTACTCCACTTTATATTTGATTTTAGGAAGCTGCCTTGGGCTCTGACAGTAGCTCTTAAAATATTCAGAAAAAGAGAATAGAAACCTATGTTGAATTTCTCTGGAGTTTAGGACATAATTTTAGGAAGAAAGTTATTAAAATGTTTATAATTTAAACATATTTAATTGTAAAAAGTAAAACAATGGACACAGACATTTCTATCTAGTTTATTAAAATTTTCCTTTGCCATCTTTGGTTTGATTTCTCTCTCTCTCTCTCTCTTTTACATTTTTACTATTCTAGGATGAATCCTCCATGTTCTTCCAGTTTGGCCCATCTATTGAACAGCAAGCTTCCGTGATGCTCAACATCATGGAGGAGTATGACTGGTACATCTTTTCTATCGTCACCACCTACTTCCCTGGCTACCAGGACTTTGTGAATAAGATTCGCAGCACCATTGAGAACAGCTTTGTGGGCTGGGAGCTAGAGGAAGTCCTCTTGCTGGACATGTCCCTGGATGATGGAGATTCAAAGATTCAGAACCAGCTCAAGAAACTTCAAAGCCCCATCATTCTTCTTTATTGTACTAAGGAAGAGGCTACCTACATCTTCGAGGTGGCTAACTCAGTAGGGCTGACTGGCTGCGGCTACACGTGGATTGTGCCTAGTCTGGTGGCAGGGGATACAGACACAGTGCCCTCGGAGTTCCCCACTGGGCTCATCTCTGTGTCCTATGATGAATGGGACTACGGGCTCCCTGCCAGAGTGAGGGATGGGATTGCCATAATCACCACCGCTGCTTCTGACATGCTGTCTGAGCACAGCTTCATCCCGGAACCCAAGAGCAGTTGTTACAACACCCATGAGAAGAGGATCTACCAGTCCAACATGTTGAATAGGTGAGTATGGCAAAAGGAGCACACTGTCAATGGAGGTCATAGTTCAGCTTCCAAAGCTGGGGCTGGACATTCAGAAACAGTAGGAAGAACAGTTCAAGATATCAGTGTTGAAGGCTGGCCACTGGATGGCAGTTATTCATGACAGTGTGAGTGTTTCAGATGCAAAGCTTGTTATGGCTGTGTTCTTGTTCTGAGAAATATAAAACTGCTCCCACTTATTGAGCACTTGCTGTCTGATAAGTATTGCTCTAAGTGTATTGTATTTTTTACCTCATTTAATACTCAAAGCAACAACTGTAGGAAGCAGGTTTCAAAAATTGTGTCCATTTTACAATATAAGAAAATAAGGCCAGTAGGTGTTAATTGTCCAAGCGAGAGTTTCATTTGGAGTTGAACACTTTCTAGATACCACATACTTGATCACTCTGAAAAGCACCATAGGTACCAAGACAAGGGAGCACCAGCCCACTTACCCCTGGAGTGCTGTTGTACTGGGAGGAAATGGAAAATGGGTTAAAGGTGTGTGTAGGCCATGAAGAGGATGCTTCCCTTGGTTTTTCTCTCCTTTGCCTCTCCTCTCTGTACCTTTAAGAGTGAGGATGCTGGTATAAAGGTGTCTTTTATGGTGGCTCTTAGTCTGATTTATCCAGTAAGAAGATAATGGTGGAGTTCTGCTCTCCTGATCTCACCTCATAACCCAGGCATAACTGTAGCCTATCCTCAAAGGGTAATTATGAAACCATGTGAGGCAGAAAACTCTATAGGCTGCTTTTATGGTTTAGTTATTTGTATAAAACTGTTACATATGCAATTATTAAAAAAATCAAACAACATAGAAGAGCATAAAGAAGAAAGTAAAAATGACCTTAAATCCAACTAATGAGAGATAATCATGGTTGAAAGATTTAGTGACCATTTTTCTAGACATCTCCCTGTGCATGGATACCTATCCTATCTAATAAAGAGGGAATATGCAAATTGACCATCACACAGTCACAAAGATGGAAGCGCCCACAGCAGAGGCAGGTGTTTCCATAATGCAAAATGGCTGTGCCCACAGCAATGGCAGGGTTTCTGTAACACAAGATGTCTGCACCCAAGGCGGAGGCCGAGTTCCTGTAATGAGCCTTAAGGAGCAATCAGCAGGGACCTGAGGCTCTGCCCCCTGCCCAGTGGGGTTTGGCAGGGGACCTCAGGCCACACCCTCTGCCCCAGCATCAGACAGGGGACCTCAGGCTGTGCCCCCTGCCCCTGATGCCAGGCCAGGGGACCCCAGGCCACATCCTCTGCCTGGCAGGGCTTGATGGGGGACCTCAGGCTGCACCCCTCCCCCTGGCACCAGGGGACTGTGCCCCCGCCTCACCTGGTGGGGCTTGACGGAGGACCTCAAGATGCGTTTCCCCCACCCCCCCACCAGGCAGGGGTACCTGAGTTTGTGCCCCCCACCTGGCAGGGGCTTGATGGGGGACCTCAGGCTGCTTCACCCACCCCAGGCCAGGGGAACTGAGGTTGCAATTCCCATACCAGCGCAAGGCCAGGAGACCTGAAGCTATGCCACCCAACCCTGCAGAGCTTGATGTGGGACCTGAGGCTGCGCCCCTGCCCCACCTGGCAGGGCTTGATGGGGGAGGGGGCTGTCTGGTCTGGATCTCGCTCAATGGGGGTAGGGCCCACTGGGTCCGGGTTTTGTGTGATTTTAAGGTGCCACACGTGGGGACTTTACTCTGGTCCTGTGGTTTGCCCCAGACTCTGACAGGAGGATGATTTTTATATACTTTTTACTAATTTTCTTTCATCTATGATACTTCTAGTATAGAGAAAGGGTAAATAGCAATATTAAAATATTTTCTCTAATTAATCCCCTTTTAATGTGCACACATTTTGTGCACTGGGCCATTAGTATGGATATAAATATATAATTTTATATAAATGGAAATGTATACATGCTGTTCAATAATCTGACTTACTTTTTCTTAACAATATGTTTTGGGTATCCATTGTAAATTTATCAACTATATCAGACACATAGCAAGGTGTTCAGAAAAACTTGATACATGCTCAGCTACCCACCATTCAGCTTAAGAAATAAAATATTAGAAAGTGTATCTGGGGAGGTTGACATACATTTAGTGGTGATTGAATGTGTACCTACTTATCATTGGAAGGGAGTTGGACTATTGCCTTTCAGCTAAACTCCTAAATTTAGAGTTGAAACTAAAACTGGTATTAATGTGGCTGCATCTGTGATCCAGTCTTAATATTCTCTCTTCTTGAACTTTGCTCTTCTTGCCTCCCTAGTTATCACTGCTTGTTCGGTAGTGACTGTCTTAGTTTTCTTTTCTTTTTAAATATATTTTTATTGATTTTTTACAGAGAGGAAGGGAAAGGGATAGAGTGCTAGAAACATCGATCTGCTGCCTCCTGTACTCCCCCTACTGGAGATGTGCCTGCAACCAAGGTACATGCCCTTGACTGGAATAGAACCTGGGACCCTTCAGTCCACAGGCTGACACTCTATCCACTAAGCCAAACTGGTTTCATTTTCTTTCTACCTCTGGTAATTCTACCTCAGGCTCATTGACACACTCTTCTTCCTTTACACATCTCTTAAACGCTAGTGCTTCTCAGGGCTCTGTCCTAAACCCTTTCTTTTCTTATCCATTGCCAAGGATACAATTAATGTCTATAAGTTCCCCAAATCTCTGGCTGCAATTGTTCAAGTCTGTATCTCTAACTGTGACTAGATATGTTTCTTTAGAACATGCCATATCCGAAACTGACCTGCTTTCTCCTCCTACTTCTTAGCGCCAAATCTGCACCACTTATAAAGGGGGCATCCTATTGCCCCGTTGCCTAAAATAAATATTACCATTGTCCTTGATTCTGTATTCCTGACATCTAATAGCCAATCATGCCATTTTTTATCGATTTCCTCTGGAGTGCTTTCACTTATTTTCATATTCATACCATACCCCAGCCCATCTCTTCTTACCTGCACTGCTGCAGGGCCTCTTACATTTTTTCTGGCTCCCTGATCTGCCTCTTTTCAATCTACATTTCAGCCAGAGTGGTCTGAAATGAATATGTGATGTCCATATTCTGAAATGAATATATAACGTCCTTTGAGGGGTCCTAGATTTTAGAGGGTGCAGGCTGGGCTGAGGGACACAACTCCCCGTGCACGAATTTTGTGCACCGGGCCTCTAATGAGAGATAACCATGGTTGAAAGATTTAGTGACCATCTTTCTAGACATCTCCCTGAGCATGGATACCTATTCTATCTAATAAAGAGGGAATATGCAAATTGACCATCCCTCTCCTGCTCACTACTTTTCAGTAGGTCTTTATTGCCCCTGCAATAAAGTCCCATCTCCATAAAGTGGCTTACAAAGTCATCCACAGCATGGGCCCTCCTGTCTTTCCAAAATGGTCCCATACTACTCTGTGCCTTAATCACTGCATTCCCATAGTATTGTCCTTACTTTAGGTCTTTGAGAATACCCTCTTCCCCTTCACTTCCAGTCAGTGTGCACTGTGTAATCCCTTCCCACCAATACACAAATGCAGTTGCTCCTTTACCTGTCTCAGATTCTCCATGCTTCATGTTTTAGTCTTGATATCACTTCCACTGGGAAGGCTTTCCTGAGCCTTGGACTAACATCAGCCTATAATATACCTTCACTACATCTTGTGCTTTTCCAATAAAGCCACTATTCACAATGTTATGATTACATGCTTTATTATCTCTCCTCCCCGTAATTCTGGGAAAGCAGTGACCTTTCTGTCTTACTCATATGTATGACACCCATTCCTAACATAGTGTGAGTCCCAAGGAACACACTTGGAGTAAACGAGTGACATCCTCCAAGATTCTGAGCTGTCCAATGCATACCCACCCTATAGGAGCTTTCTCATTCTGCTCCTCTCTGCAAAATAATAGAGGTTTCCTTTAAAAACTCACTGTATGGTCTTTTCTGTACATTCATGTTTTCTCCCATTGTTTTTAGTGTTAAATTTAAACCTGATTTAGATTATTTTACCAAATGTTTGTTCTTTAAAAAATGCTAACAATGAAGGAATAAAACATTTGCTAAACAACAAAAAGAAATCAAGTAGGCGTTACCTTAAAGTCCATAAATATGGTCCAGGAGTGTCTGCTTTTATCTTAAGGCTTCCTTTGGGTAAACAGGGAAATGTACATATTATTTCCCATGTGGCTTATTTACATTAGAATGTAAATGTGATTTCTCAAGTCTGGCCTCTAACCGCTATATCTTTAAAACCATAGTTTCTTTGAACCTTTGTTACCACCTCTTCTGGCCACAGGGAAGGCAGCTCTCCTGGGTTCTCTACCCTTCTTCCTTAGAGGTTATTGTCAAGATATCCACACATGCCCATCTTCATCTTCTCAAGTACAGCAGTCTGCACCATGCAGGTTATTCATAAATTCCTTGAGTCCCAGTGTGGAGGAGAGAGAAAAGGCCCACCTTCACTCAATTTCTCACTTTCACTCAAGTATACTGTGTAAACTGTGTCTTCCGACTCCTGCCCTAGTTTCATGATTTCTCTAGAGGTCTGTATCTAACAGTGTGGGACATCTGCTCTGGGCTCTCTCCCTGTCCTTATCCCTGCATCCCTCACTCATTTCCACTGACTTTTCCTTCCCTTTCTCCCAAATGCAGCTTCTCATGGTTCTTGAATCCCAATCCCTGGCCTCTCTTGGAAAATGATAAATCTGTTTTGTTTTTTTAATCAGGACCCAGAAAGGATTGATGCTGACTAACAGGGACAAGAAGGTGCTATCCTCAAAGTCTGAGCTGTTATCACCAGGCACAGCACTCAAAATCATCTATGTATTCCTTCTACTTATCTTGTCTGAAATCAGACTATTCCTCCCTTCAGAGATCAGATCTCACTAGGGTTACTCTTTTAAATAACAAACCAAGCAGCCACACCATTTAGCCACAGCAGGAAATCTTTGCAAAATAATATTGTTGCA